CGTGCGGTGGGGGGTCTCTTTTGGCCGGCCCCGATTTTTTTTTCAGAGGGGAATATCATGCCTGCTATCACCATCTCTACGGGACGATTTAGGTCCAAAAGGACCGCCCAGCAGCAAAGATATTGACGGTGATCTTAGAGCATTAAGATCACCCGTCATACCGCCACGACATCAGTCCCGCCCTTACAAAATTTAGATTATTTTTAACTGCAAAATTTAAATTAGATTTAGGGGTCTGCCCAAAGAGGAAATATGTTTTATTTTGATCTTGAAATGAAATAACACATTCCAAAAACTGTGTTGTACCAAATTGACCATGGTTTTACAGGGAAAAGATATTCAAGTAATTTGTTTGTAGTGTTTTAAGAATTCTCTGGAATTAAAAAAGTACAGCAACCACTAGACATGACAACAAAGAGGCACTTGACTCTTTTCTGCTTGCTTAAACTATTATTTTTGTAACTGAGTTGTGTGATAGGCCTAGTTGGATTTTTAGTTGGATTTTTAGTTGGATCCCTCCTTGGATTTTTTAAAATTGCTAATTTATATCCTTTGTTTTTGGCCCTTCTCCCCTTCATTATAATTGGAGATACAGGACGTGTAGCTTGTGGCAGGATATTATTGGATAATGGTCCTGATGCCATTATAAATAGTGTACAGACACGTCAAGACCCTTTGTTGGCAGCAAGTCTGTCATGAAATAAGATCCAGATAATTCCAAGAGAAACAAAAATCCAAAATGCTTTTTTCCCCATGAATCTCCACATTCCTGGGAAACACGATAGAGTTTGTCAGTGATGGTAAAAATTCCATCTAACCCTCTATAGATATAGAGGCAACAGAAGCTTCTTTAGAGCCTAAGCATGGCTGCTGGGCAAATAAGAACCAGGAAGGAGAGCTCTCTGATGCTGTTGTGCTGCTCTCTTCTTGCAACTGTTCCTGCTGTCCAAAAAGAGCAGCTTGTTCCAGAATACACTCTGCCAGACTATAAAACAGTACCAAAAGGCAACAGGCATAAGACAGGCCATGGTTGTTCTTTCTTACTTGGGAATCATGTGGTGAACAGTTGTAAACATTCAACTCTGATTCTCTTGTTTATTCAGATTCTGTACCATTCTCATTTTATATTTGGCCACATTACCCACATAATCAGACCACATAATCAGACTCATTGGCCACATAATCAGACTCAAAGGTGCTTTTTCAAGAGAGAACTGGACTTTCTGGACTTTCATTGAGAAGTTGGAGCTGTGCTTTCTGCAGGATGTTTTTTGCCCTGTATCTCTTCACTATTGAGGACAGGCACAGGCTGTTGAGGATGAGTCTATGCTGTCTACATCTCAAACTGAAACACAAATGATTCCTGTAGACTGCAATTTTTCTTGAAATCTGTTCATACTCCTGCACCAGAAAGTCCAGTTGCCTGTTGAAAAAGCACCTTTGGGACAACCATGATCTGGATGACTGAGAATCTCCATAGACATTTAGCCGATCAGACACACCCCCTCCACTAGGAAATACAGGTGGCGAGATGCAGGATCCTTTGTGTTGGCATCATACCAATTTCTGATGTGAATATGGGGCTATAAAGAGGACATGTTGGGCTATTTATGAGTTGGAAGAAAATGAAGTTGGGCTTCATCTTGTTATCTGAAATAGAACATTTGATACATTTTCCATCTGAAATTTTAATACCTATACAGAAAAAAAGATCCTGTTTATGGATGCTGCTTGGACAAACATCTACCTATTTTGTTGTCTATACAAGTTACCTGAATCAGTTATTCTGTGCTTGAAGTGCTTGTAATTCAAACAGTTCTACCCATCCTTAGCAGATTGAGAAAGCCAGTTTAGTGTAATGCAGTGGTTCTTAAACTAACCCAGTAACCTCTTTTCCCAAGCAGGAAAAGATCCTGGACTGCTGTTTTATACAAATAACTGGGCAGCAACTGCAGCAATCCCAAAGTAGATTCTCATTCACAAACAAACATAAGTTGCTTCATTACCTCAGAATCCACTAAAATTAGCTCCAATTTAAAAAGCACCGATCTGTTAGCTAAAACACTGGACTAAGAGCAGAGAAATATGAGTTCTTCTCCTATATGGAAGTCAACCAGATAAAAACAGTTGCAAACGACTTCTATAAATGTTGCCTAAAGATGGACTTGTGGAAAGAAAGGGAAAAAAACATCCAGAATGTAAGCTTTTCAATTTTGCAAAGTTTTTGATTTGATGTACTTTTAGCTAATTCATGCTTGCTTTGTTTCCTAGGGAAAGCTTGACAGAGCTGTTCCTCTGTATGAGCTTGCTGTTGAAATCAGACAAAAATCCTTTGGTCCAAAACATCCAAGTGTGGCTACTGCTTTAGTAAATCTGGCAGTTCTTTATTGTCAAATGGTAGGTTTCCTTTCCTTAATAAAAAAGGTAAAATGTATGATGATATATACTGTTTTATCCTAAAACTCAGTCTTTCCAGTCATATTTTTCCTTGCTGTTTAAAAAAAAATCAGAGGAAGGGCACATTATACAGGAATGGGTCAGTGCCTAGCCAATTTTGAGTTTGAAATTCATGGAGAAACTTAAACTTTCCCCAAATCTGTCCTTCCCATGGACAGAGGGAGAAAAGAAGAATCTTATGTTTGCATATAATTTTACTTACTGTAATAACTGCTAAAATTTTGGGAGTGGGGATATTTACTTCCGTAGGCATAAATCTTGTCCTATAGGCAGGCAGACTGATTTTCTGGCTTTAAAATGAATTTCTGTAAATATTTTAAAAATACATACCTAATTTTGTTTTCTTGTCTCATTTTTAGAAAAAAAATCAGGAAGCGTTGCCTCTGTATGAACGTGCACTGAAAATTTATGAAGACAGCTTGGGGCACATGCATCCTCGTGTAGGGGAAACATTAAAAAATTTGGCTGTGCTAAGGTATCAAGTCAATGTGTTTGTTCTATTCTAGATAAATTGTCACTAATTATAGCAGCCCCTCATATTTATATTGATGATATAATTGAGACATTTTGAATTCAAGACAGATGGCACTGAATATCAGAAGCGTTTCTGCAGCCATATTTTGAAGCATTTCTAGCGTATGCAACATCTAGCTAAGGGTGAGGCTGCATATGACTGAATGACTGAATAAAAAATTCTCCATATTGTTGAATCCAGGCTGGAATGGGAAAGATGTGGATGTTTCTGTGTATACAGATGACTTGATATGAGGATTAGGTACTAAATGTAGATTATGAATCTTTAACAGAATAACAGAGTTTAAAAGTTCAACCTCCTGCTCAAGCAAGAGACTTTTATTAAGACTTTATTAAGTCCTACTTTCTTTTCTCCCCAAAGCTATGAAGGGGGTGAATTTGAGAAGGCTGCTGAGCTCTATAAGAAAGCCATGGAAATTAAAGAAGAAGAAATGCTGGTAATGGGTGGAAAAGCTACTTCCCATCACTCATCAACTGGAGATACACTCAGCATTAAAAGTGCTTTTTCTCACAACATGTATTTTCAACATGGACCAAGATAATGGAAAGTAGTATATTAATCATTAGAAGAAAATATTTTTGCTGAAAAGAAATAAGGTTCCATTTTAAACGAGTAGAAAAAGAGAAGAGAAAAAAAGTTAAAGATTTGTGTTAGTTTATTAACACTGATTTTGAGCATATTATATTCAGCTAAGACTGTTTTTAAATATTTGGCTAATATTTTTAAAAAATTATCTGTTATGCCAGGGGTGCCAAACTCAATTTCATTGGCTGCATTAGCATTATGCCTGCCCTTGGGGGGCAGGTGGACATGGCTAGGTGGGCACATCCCAATCGGGTATGGCCACCTTGATGGGAAAAGTGGGGAATCCCCATCTCTAAGAGGCAGCTGGCAGTCCGAAGCCTGTGCAGCACAGTTGGAAGCATCAGGACCATTGATCTGACACTCCAAGCAGCAGGCAGAGGCACCTGATCAGGCCTGTCAGATGCCCAGGCAGCCATATATCCTGCCAGATGTGCAGTCACCTGGTCCATCCCAGCTGCAGCCGCCGCAGGCAAAAGACAGGTTGTGAGGTTGCGATGAGGCAGCCCAGCTGGTTACCACCACGCTGCAGCCCGTGTGCTTGGCCCCCTCTGTCAAACCTTATCCTACAGCGAGCCTGCTGCTTGTCCCCCAGCACCGATGGCCCCGGTGATGGGAAGAGAGAGTGGGGAGCAGACTCTGGAGGACGAGGTTGGAGGGAGGGGACTGAGCGTCCCACATGTGCATCAGAGTTAAAAGACAAACTTGGACAGATCTACCCCCGCCCTGCCACCTCCCTCCCCTCGCCTCATGGCAGCAGCACCGTAGCAAGTGAAGGGAGAGGCACACAATTCAGTCCGGCTGCCTGTCCCACCCCAGCTGCGGTGGCCACAGGCAAGCAAAGTCAGACAGTGGGAATGGAGTGTGTGGGTGGGTGGCCACCCAGCCCTTCCAATGGGCTAGATCACATGCTTCCTCATGCCTCTGCCTACTGCTTAGGGCCAGTGTGGCGGTTGCAGCACCCCAGACCCACCTCCACTGTGTGTCCTGAGGAGCCCCTCAGCTGATGGGCTATTGCCAGACACCATTGGCATGCTCACTGCCTCCTTTGCATGCCTGGGGCATCTGGCAGGAACATTCAATCTTTCACTGTTTCTGGGATGGCCCTGTGGGCCAAATTTCAGCCTTGTATTTAACATGTCTGGTTGAAGGCTTTGTTCCTGCCCTCAAACAATAAGGCTGGTGCACATGAGCAAGCAGTGAATCCGGGCCATGGACGGTGTTGTTTCCTGAGCCTAGCCTTAGATTCCATAGGGCTGCCCTGCCACCTCAGCCCCGCCCCCTGGTCACATGCACAGGAAACGGTGAGTGTGCGAGCACTGGAGTCCTGGCCGAAATGAAGCGCTCAGCCTGCACTCAGCCTTTGGGGTAACATGGTCCCCCGGTGACGCCAGACCCCCCACCCCCATGCATGCACACCTCTTATGTGCGCACCCAAGGGGCAGGGCTGGGGCAGCCACTCATGGGCTCCAAGGAAGTCCCGCAGATCTAAGGTTGGTCACTTTCTGGCCCAGATGGCTCCCAGCAGTTTGTAAATCAGTGCCCGGTCAGCAGGGCAACCCTGCAGGGCAGATCTAACCACCTTGTGGGCCAGATCTGGCCCATGGGCCTTGATTTTGACACCCCTGCGTTATGCTATTAATTTTTTCTACCTTTTTTATTTAAAAACTCGAGTTGTTCTGTCCTCTATTAAGTAAATAGAAACCATTTACTAGCCATTTGGATTTTTGGATTGCCATTTTTCTTTGTTGCAGAAAGAAGTTACAAATGAAACTAGGAATTAACAGAACAATTATAGTTTGCATATTATTGTAGATATGTAAATCTCGATGAGATTTATTTTTAAAAATTGAATGTATAGTCAAAATTAAGTATTTGGCTGTTTATACAGATGAATATAGGTAGTCTTGTTATGACAATAATTGACCCTAAAATTTTGCTAAGTGAGGAAATTTTTAAGTAACTTTTGCCCCATTTTAGGACTTTTTGTTACAATTGTTAAGTGAATCACGGCAGTGTTAAGTGAATTATGTGATCACTAAACGAATCTGTCTTCTCCCATTGACATTGCTTGTCAGAAGCTAGATGGGAAGGTTATAAATGGTGGTCACGTGACTCCAGGACAGTGCAACTGTCATAAATAAATGTGAGTTGCCAAGTGCCCAAAATTTGATCATGTGACCATAAGGTTACTACAACTATCGTTAAGTGTGAAAACTGGTCATAAGTCACTTTTTTCAGTGCCATTATAACTTTGGTCACTAAATGAATATTATAAGTTGAGGACTACCTATAGTTGAGATATAAAATAGGAAAACTAGATCTGAATAGAAAAATTTAAAAATAATAACACAAATGTCTAATTGCTAAAAATGTAAACTTTGGCATAGAAAAGAACTTAACTTAAAAATAATCTGGTTTCATTTGTGTCCAATACTAACTATATCCTATAGTTTAGTATTATACAGGTATTCTTACCTACTTTCCTTGTAATTCTTTACGCTTTTCTAAGGACTGGGAAATCACTATTGTTAATGTTCTTTAACTGTACTTTAGTGCCCAAATATGGGCTTGGTTTACTGAAAAAAGCCGATTTCAAATATTGGTTTAGGAAGGTGAAGTTTCAGTGAACTATAATAAACATTATCCAGAGTTGCTTTGCACTTTTTATTGTACTTAATTGAATTAAAAATTTTATTTTTGGGATACTAGTTGTATAGTATATATGGATGTCTGCTGGGAAGGGAGTTTGGGATTAAATAAAAACAGATACATAATACATGGCAACCAGTGGTGGGATTCAGCCGGTTTGCACTAGTTTGGCAGAATGGCAAGACTAGCATGCATTCACATACCTCCAATCCTTTGCTTGCTGCAGTCTGATTTGCAGCAAGCAAAAGGGCTTGGAGGCATATGAATGCACGCTGGTCTGGCGCCTCAAGAAACCTTTCCTTTAATTCAAACTGTAATAACTCAGGTCTTTAATCTGGTTTTTGTAACTGCAGCTCAGACATGCGTTTTATACAGATGTGGTAGCATTTACCAGCTTCTGCTCTTGCTTGTTTACAGAGTTAAGTGCACACAATAGATCAGAAGACTTCCAGTAGCAAAACTGATTGTTCCATTTCAGAGATAAGGGTCCACTTTCTCAATTGCTTTTCTAAATAACTTTTTTTATTTGCAAGTAGGAAAAACAGCCGAGCCAGGTGGGGGACAAAAGAGTTTGAATCCAAGCCCTTTCCTTCTTTTCGTGCTGATTTCCCAAATTGAGTTTTTAATATCGTGCAGAAGAAATAAATGATGTTACAATTTTGCTCCATTTTATGACTTTAGAACTTTTTTTACAGCCCATTTTATGACTTTAGAACTTTTTTTTTTGTTACATCACTGAAATTGCACGTTTAAACCTGGCATTTTTGAATCAGGCAAAATGAGCTTTTTTCTAAACTTGTTTTTTTTTCTTATTTATTCCTATGTGTCCATCCTTTTCCCTAAGAATGGATACCTCTAAATTGCGGTGTAGACACAGGGTGTGTGGAGAGTTCACACATTTTGCATGCAATGCGAGTTTTGCCCCATTTTTATCACTTTCTTTGATTTGACTATGATCCCAAGTGCCTTTGTTCCTTCATAAAGTTTATACTTGACTGTTTCCTAGTATTTGATTGCTTATTGTACCCTATGACTATTATTGTGTTGTGCCTTATGATTCTTGATGAATGTATCTTTTATGTACACTAAGAGCATTTGCACCAAGACAAATTCCTTGTGTGTCCAATCACACTTGGCCAATAAAGAATTCTACTCTACTCTACTCTACTCTACTCTATTCTTCTGGCAGTTCTCATGTATTTTTAGAGCCTTAACTTCAAAATTTTAAAACATTATCTTATTAGCATGTGAAATATGTAATTTGTTAATTTTTGTGGCGTTACAATACAGGTCGTCCTCAATTTACAACAGTTCTTTTAGTGACCATTCAAAGTTACAACAACACTGAAAAAAGTGACATGTCCATTTTTCACAGTTCTACCTTTCCAGCATCCCTGTAGTCATAAGATCAAAATTCAGATGCTTGGCAACTGGCTCATATTTGCTGTGTCTCAAGATCAGGGGATCCCATTTTGTGATCTTCTGACAAGCACAGTCAATAGGGAAGCCAGATTTATTTAACAACCAGGTGACTAACTTATAAACTGCAGTGATTCACTTAACAACTGAGGCAAGAATAGAATGGGGTAAAATTACTTTAAAATGTCTCACCTAACAACAATTTTGCACTCAAAATTTTAAGTACCTATACTGATTTTTTGGACAGTATGTTTTTCAGGTCTGCTTACAAATTGCAAACAACGTATCAACAGCATTGCCTTACAAGATTTTAAAAACCTACTTTGGCATTTCATCAACACCTTTGCTGTTAACTGGATTTTCTAGAGTCCATTTAATTTCACTTTCCAAAATGTTTGACTTAATGATTATATTATTATGTCAGTGATAGTGTTGATTTACCACTTAAAAGAAGCAAAGAGATAAGTATAAGTATCCCCAACATGACAGCAATTGGGACCAGAGTTTCCTTTGCTAAAAAAATCCTTTGATATGATTATAAACCATGATAGCAACCTCTGCAGTTCCAGTTGCCAGAGTTATAGAATACTATGGTTGTTAGGCATGTTAATTTCCTGCTGGCTTCCCTCAGTCAAATCAGTGTGGGAAGCTGGCAGGAAGTTTCAAGTCCCAAAAGGCTTGCCAAGGATTTGGCAGGCAGGTAAGTGGTTGCTGCTGGATGGGAAAGGGTGCAAGATTGAAATGGAAACAGTGAGGCTTGGAAAGAGTGCAGGGGATAGATGAGGGTGGAAGAGAGGGTGGAGGGTGTGTGGGAGGTTCTGAGATGATGTGTGGAAGCGTGCAAGGGAGCTGCAGTGTTGCTCAGGAACGAGAAGGGCACAATGAATCAGGAAAGATATGCATGGGTACGAGGTATGGCAAAAGCCATGGAAGTTATATGAAGGTATAAGAAAAGTGCTGTTAGATTCAAGAGGGCGTTAACAAAACTTAATGGTATGCAGGAATATTTGCAAATAAAGTATAGTGGTGGAAGGGGAAGGTCTGGCAAAGTTTTAGGGAGATGTAACAAGGATCAGAGAAAGAGAGGCACATGAATGGTGGAGGTGGTACTGGGAGGCTCAAGAAGGGGTTGCAGAAGTGCACAAATGAACAATGAAATGAACAATAGAGGTTAAGGGAGGATTCATAATTGAGGAAAACTTAGCCCAGAAACTTGAGACCTTTCCTGCAGTTTCCCCATTGATTTTCTTGAGTTAGCCAGCACAGAAGATCCAAATGGCAATCCCATGAGTCTTTGAATTATAGTTAGAAAAGTATTTTACAGAAAAATATGATTAAGGAGTATAAAAAGAAATTAAAGGAATATATTGATAATTGGATAAAGAAAAAGACTTAATGACTGTTTGGATGCAAGTGAAACTTTATGAGGGGTTATTTTACTCAATTCAGCTGTTTGGAGAAGAAGAAATCTCAACAGATACAAAAGATACAGGATGAAATTAAAATTACAGAAACTAAACTGCAGAAAACATTAATGGACTCTAAAATTCTACATCTAATTAATCTATATCAAGATGTTTTACCACAAATGTGTTTTTATTCCACATACTGAATGACCAATGTTCTATTTAAACTATGGCAAAGGAAATGTCTAAGATTTTATATGGCAAAAGAAAAAAAAGAATAAATATAAATTGTTGCAAGATACTAAAGAGATGGTTTGGATTTACTAGATTTAAAACTGTACTTTAATGCTTTTTTGGTCTAGCTCAGGGGTGTCAAACTTGCAGAATCACATCTGATGTCTGTACAATTAGCACCAGGCCCCCCCAAGGCTGTGTGCTTTCTCCACTTTTCCCTATATACCAATGACTGCATCTCAAACGATCCATCTGTTAAAATACTGACGTTTGCAGATGACGTTTGCAGTGATTGGTCTCATTCGAGAAAATGATGAATCGGCATACAGATGGGAGGTTGTACAACTTGCCTCGTGATGTAACCGGAACAATCTGGAACTGAACATTCAAAACCGTAGAAATGGTGGTAGACTTTAGAAGAAACCCACCCATACTATCATCTCTTACAATACTAGACAACACAGTATCAACAGTGGAGACCTTCAGATTTCTAGATTCTATCATATCACATGACCTAAAATGGACACCTAGCATCAAAAACGTAATCAAAAAAGCACAACAAAGAATGTTCTTTCTGCGCCAACTCAGAAAGCTCAAACTGCCCAAGGAGCTGCTGATACAGTTCTACAGAGGAATTATTGAGTCTATCATCTGCACTTCTATAACTGTCTGGTTTGGTTCTGCAACCCAATAAGTCAGACACAGACTTCAGAGAGCAATTAGGACTGCAGAAAAAACAATTACTACCAACCTGCCTTCAATCGAGGACCTGTATACTGCAAGAGTCAAAAAGAGGGCTGTGAAAATTTTTACAGACCCCCTCACATCCTGGACATAAACTGTTTCAATTCCTATCCTCAAAATGGCGCTATAGAGCACTGCACACCAGAACAACTAGACACAAGAACAGTTTTTCCCCGAACACCATCACTCTGCTAAACAAATAATTCCCTCAATGCTGTCCAACCATTTACAAAGTCTGCACTACTGTTACTATTAATCTCATCACTCAACACCCATCCCCTCCCACTTGTGACTGTATGACTGTAACTTTGTCGCTTGTATTCCTACGATTTATATTAACTGTTTCCTAGTATGATTTGATTGCTTATTGTACCCTATGACTATTATTAAGTGTTGTACCTTGTGATTCTTGACTCTTGATGAATGTATCTTTTATGTACAGAGAGCATTTGCATCAAGACAAAATCCTTGTGTGTCCAATCACACTTAGCCAATAAATAATTCTATTCTATTGTTATATTAGTGGCTAGTACTTGTTAAATTGGTAAAGTAAGAACTTGGAGGCTATAGCAACAGCAAAAGTATTTAGACTTATATACTTATATATAGTGCTCTCCAAATGGTTTACAGCATATTGCCCCAACAATCTGGATTCTTATTTTACTGACTGCAGAAGAATGGAAGGCTGAGTCAACCTTGAGCCTGGTGAGATTCGAACTGCCAAATTGCAGGCAGAAGTAGCCTGCAGTACTGCATTCCAATTACTGTGCCACCATGACTCTATTATATTTTATATTTTACTGTGTTGAAAAAAGTTCAAAGTGAATGCTTTTTCCCCCTTTCATTTTTTACACCTCTCCTTCCCCTTTCTCTTTCCCCTTTTTCTCCTATTTTTATTTTCATTTGTATTTTGTATCATGACAATCTTAATAAAATTCTTGGGGAAGAAAGAAAATGGCAGTCACATGATTACAGGCTACTGTAACCTGTCATTTAAATGTGAGCAAGTTGCCAAGCACTCAAATCACGATCATTTGATCAGGCGCAGCTGGAACTCCCAAGGACCAGACATAATAATTTGTTCAGCTATTGTAACTGAATGATCATAAGTTGAGGACTAATTGCATATGCATCCTTTGCTGTCATCTAATATTCAATTCATACTTTTTTGTTCTAAATCTTTTAAATTTACTTTCATCTATAAGCATTATTCAAAATATCCCAGATATATTACAGTTTATAATGTCAACACTTGCTACATAGCTAGGATAATTTACAGGTAAATAACACTATTGAAACTATATTGAAACTAAATTAAGGTTTCTGTTCCACCAAAGGCTCTCATCCATTTTCTCTAGCTTGTAAAGTCTACCTTTGGGTTTATTTTCATTCTTGACTTGGTTCAGAAAAGGATTTTAGTGTTTAGTGAGTGTTTGTGAAATATTTTCCCATTAAGTTAAATCATAGGTAATGATTTTAAGGTTTTTTTTTGTACTACATGCCATGTGTTTGTGTAAAACTCCTTTCTATGACAGTGAAGGAAACATTTGTTTTGTTTTCTTTACAATTATGTAAAATCCAAAATTATGTTTTAAAATGGAAGTCATATTGCTAATGAATGAATTTTACACTATAGGTTAATTCAATTGAATTTTCTTTAAACTACATATTCTGTATATGACAGCAAATCCGGAAAAATAATTTTGGATCATGGTTTATTGCTCTTGCTGAATGTAAAGTAGCACAACTTTGCTCATTTTGGCTTCCAACTGTCATGATTACTGTACAAGATACATAAGATTCAATCTCAAAACATCTAGAGAAGGAACTCTACACTTAATTCATGATTTAGCATTATGGGTGAATTAAGAGTAGTATTTCAAAAATTAAATATAGCTACATCTAGTGAAACCTTTAATTTTTGTAAACATAAGGGACATTAGAACTTTTGCCAGATTATTAAATAAAACTTTTACAATTCACAAAATATCTTTGTGCTTGATTTGATATACCATTATTCTCATATTATTAAATTTATTGGATTACTTTAATGCTTTCTGGAAATTTGGAAATATAGTTTCTAATAATGTATTAAGTTATGGAAATTTAATGATACTATCATCAAAACAGAGTGATAAATATACAATGAGTGAAATTTAGCCAGAAACCATTAAATAGCTATAAAGCACTAAAAATAACGGGTCCCTGACACATTCTGCATATTATATATTCTTCATTTTAGCAATAAGTTCTTCAAGACTTTCTTCAGATTCTTCAACCATTTCTCCAGCAGGAATACAGTCTTTCTGTTAATGATAGAAAAGAAAAATAACTCCTTCACATCCAATTCATCCAAAAATAAAAGAGTTGTAAGGAATCTTGATAGTCTTCTAGTCCAATCCCCTACTCAAGCAGGAGACACTATACCATTTCAGACAATTGGCTGTCTAATCTCTTCGTTAAAAACTCCAGTGATGTAGCACCCAAAACGTCTGAAAGCTAGTCATTCCACTGACTAATTATTCTGTCAGAAAATTTCTCATTAGTTCTAGGTTGATACTCTACTTGATTAGTTTCCACCCATTGTTTCTTGTTCTGCTTTAGGTCAGGGGTGTCAAACTGGATTTTATTAAGGGTTGCATCAGGTTGTATTTGACCTTGGGGTACTGGGTGGGCATGACCAGTGTGGACATGGCCAGCTCAATGTCATTTAGGTCGGGGGCACCTATGGTGGCCCAAGTGCTCTGCCAGCAAGAACACGCTCCCAAGGGCCCATGGCCCTCGTGAGCTGTTTTCAGCTGTGATGGCCTTCTGCAACCCTCTGCCAGAAAAAATGGAGCTTGGGACAGCTACATGCAGCCCTACTGAGCAACATTTTCTCTGGCAGAGGCACCGCGGGCCAGTCCTTGTTTTCACTGCAGCCTTGCAGGCCAGATCTAAGGACCCCCCAGGCCGGCTCCGGCTCCTGGGCCTTGATTTTGACACCCCTGCTTTAGGTGCTTTGTGGCAGCCCCTTAGATATTGGAGCACTGCTATCAAGTCATCCCTAATCTCTCTTCATTAAACTAGACCAAGGGTCAGCAACTTGCGGCTCTGAAGCCGCATGTGGCTCTTTCATCCATCTGCTGTGGCTCCCTGTCACTGGTAGGCTCCACAACTGATAGGGCTTTCAGTTAGGGCAGGTAGAGGAAAAAGGACGCTGTGCTAGGAGGAGACTCTACGGTGGGGAAACTGGACTTCCAGTCAGCAGAGGAAAAAGGATGCTGCCCTAGGAGGAGAAGCTATGGTGGGGGAAACCAGACTTCCGGTCAGTTCCAGAATTGAACCGGGCGTTTCCGGTTACGACCTCTGTGGCTCTTTGACTGTTGCTAGACACATGCAATTCCTGCTCATGTTT